GCCGCTGCAGCTGCCCCTGAGCCGCCGCCGCTGCTGCCACCGCCGCCGCGGTGGGGCGTGTTCCGCTTCTTATTCTTCGGCATCGTGGGACGCCCGGTGCCGCCTAAACTCCGAGTTTAGCTAGGATCAGCCGATGGAGCTGCACTTTTTACTCGTGCGTCTGTGCGGCGGGCGGCTGAGAGACGAGTCTTCGGCTAACAACAGAGGCGAGAAGCGGCGGGGGTAAGAGTGGGCGGTTGCGGCAGCAGAAATCCCCGTGAAGAGCTGTGATCGGAAACGATACATGTTTCTCTCTAGCGCGGGAGCTAAGGCGGGGCGGTTGAGGCCACGACGCCTTAAGTAGCAAGCCCGCCGCCTGTCGTCACCATGTGTGGGCGGGACTCGAACTCTCACTAGCCAGTCCCTGCAGATCTCCCCACCAGCGTCCGGCGCGAGCGGCGCAGGGCCCTTACTACCAATCCCATGCGGCAAGTCTTCCCTTTGCGCCCAGGGAGCAAGTCTTCGCAGCCGCACTGAGTTCTGGGAAATGTAGTCGGCCTGAGCACGAGCCTCTCCCCAGCTCCTCCCAAGCAGCCTTCCAGCCCACTTGGTTCCCTTCTCGTGACCGCTCCCTGCTTGGCCTGGCCCTGGCATTGGCATTGCCTGAGGTCATCAGCCCGGATGAGCAATGTGGCGGGTATGCCTGGTGACGAAAGCCAGTTGCCAGCTGGGAGCTACGCAATCACCTTTGCTCCTCTTTTTCCGAGGCATTCGGTTCTTAACCTTTTCCCGACTTCCTTCTGCCTCTGCCCAGCCATACCGTGCCCCTCCTAGGGAACAATTTCATGGTTTTATTTTAGCTGGTGAATTCGTTTAGCGATCAATACCTATAACTAAACTGTAGTTCGGCGCTTTGAGCCTCCCTGCCCACCAAAAAGGATGTGTTCTCATCTGCTTAGTTATATAGTTGGTGTAGTTTTCATATTCTCTAGGAACTGAGTGTAAGACAACACAGCATCATAGGTTTCTATGTAAGAATGTGCCCTTTGGGCCGCGCAGTGGCCTGGTGTTCTGGGAGCCTGATCCGACATGCCGAACCAGGGGGTTTGAATGCTGGCCCAGAGGCTTGAAAAAGCGTTCTAGATGCTTTTGTGTTCAAACTCCCACAGGATGGAGAAGTGAAGGAGAAGGCGTTGGGGCGTGACCACACTCCATTGGGGAATGCTGTCTCTCTCTCTCCCCCTCCTTCCATCTCTCTGTCTCTGGCAATCCCACAACCCTTTGGCAATAATAATGTGTTGCTTTGACAGTTTTATCTGCTACTTAGGTTAATTTGGGATAAGCGTTTCTGAGACAACAGCTGGTAAAACAAGCCTGGGCTATAAATACCAATAATCACTATGGGTCTTGTTTTTGTTTTTGTTTTTGTTTTCAAGGTGCTCCTAGATCTGTGTCTTTCTTGTTACAACATTTGTTATATATTTAGGGCCTGTTATTAGATTCATACACTGTGCTTATGACAGACCAAACTCACTGACTCACCTCAATGTAGGTGACTCATCCTCTACTCCACCTCTCACCTGAGCTCCATTTTCTTATTCTCAACTGTGTGTAGCCCATTTCTACCTGAATGTCCAATTTGCACCTCAACCCAACATCTCTAAAACAATTTCCCTTTGTATGGTCACTATATTATCCTCTCATATGTTAAAATTCCAAAACTCAAATTCATAAATGTTTTTCCTCTCTCTTTAGCGCCTGTCCCAAAGCAAGTAGCTTTAAAATGAAACTCTTAAATTCGTATACTGTTCTCCTATCACATGTGGTTTGTGCTCACCCTTGGGTATTTTAAGGACACTTCTGCCTTTTCATCCATATTTCATGCACAATAATGCTGCCAGAATTATTGCTGAATCCCCTGTTTTACTAATCTACCTCCTTTAGTAGTTGCTCAGAAACATTACATGGTTCCCATGAGTGCCAACCCTCTTAGCCTGGCCCTGACTCGCTTTCTAGCCTCATGTTTCACTGCTTCCTCATCTGTGCTTTGTTTTTTTAGCCAAACTGGACTGCCCTTCATTTACAATATACAGCTCTGATCACATACTTCCATTTCATCACTCATATTATTTCATGTCCTTGTAATCCCCTTCCTCCTGTCTTCACCTTACAAAATTGTATCCGTCTTTCAAGAGCTAGTTCAAATGCTGTCACTTTCAAAACATCTCCAGTCAGAATTGTTTCTTCCTCCTCACAGCTCTTTAATGCTGTGCATAATGCCCTAATGGCACTTACTTCAGTTCCACACACAGCCCATTCAAAGGATAATGTTTAGCCAGTCCATGCAACAAAGTGTGTGGCATACTGAATGGTGCTGGATGGCATATGGCCAGCTGTGAGTTCAGATCCCCATGTCAACCTGAAACACACTGGGCGAGTGAACTTGAAGCAAGTGCTTTTTTTCGTCATTCATGTCCACATAGAGGCCTTTTTGGGGCAGACCCAGCCACGGCTTACCACATCATATGCACACTTGTTTTACATTTATTTGTGAACACATGCAGCCTACCTCATGACATTGTCACCTTCCCAAAACAAAAACCTTGTTTTCACCATCTCTGTATCCCATAAGTATATGGTAAATAAACATAAAAGAAGTAACAGTCGACTGCATTTTTCTGGCTCAAAGGAAAGGGAGAGACTACATATTATTACATACATGGTATATAGTGAATTCTGAGAGATACTTCTCACTTTATCCTAGTTTTATATCTGTACGTTTAGCTCAGTTGAAGTGTCAGAAAGATTTAGCCATACCCCTCATGGAGCAGCATTCTTCAACTCAATATATTGCTTCACTGCGTGTTTATAGAAATGACAAGATTTTGGGACCAGCAGATGACGTAACAGTTATGTTGCTGGACTCCCACATAGTCGACCACAATTTGAGTCCGGACCTAGTGGCTTAAAACTCACACCGGGCACATGTGCATGCATGCCCAAGATCCCAGGAGGAAAATGGAGGAAAAGGGAGTGTGGCCTGGCCGTTCCCCCAGGCAGTGATTTCTCACTTTCTGTCTCTCTGACAAGTACACGTGCCCCACAGGAAAAATCTCTCTATTAAAAAAAGAAGAAGAAGAAATGACAAGATTCCAAACATTGAGTCATGAGATAGCAACAAATACCAGGAAGAAAGGGGAGGCACAGGGAGAACAGAACACTGGGCCTTTCTCCTGACCAGGCTTTATCGTTTTATTAAGGAAAAAACTCCTCCCCAGGGACTTCTGCTGACATCTTGTTGGCTGCAATTGTGTTATATAATGATCCCCAGTTGCTAGGGAGTTCAGAAACCAAGTATTTTTCAGTGGATGATGAAGGTGAGGTTTTATTAATAAGAATGAAGGGGAAATGGATATAAGCAACCAGCAATATCTATCCCACACTGTAAGGCAAAGTTCTCCCATGGGCTAATAAATAAATATCACATGTCTGTTACCAACCTGACATTATGTGTTGCCTCTTACCGCTTAGTCATAGGAAGATGTATATTTCTAAAATACACTTGTTCAGTTTAATATTCCATCTACTACATCTCACCATCACAGTAAGTACACTCAAATGGTGCAAAAATAAACATTACATTTTCAGAATTGGGGGGCACACCTGTGAGAGGTCTAAGCTTTCATGGGGTCTGTGTGTTGAGGACTGTGATTCTAGGACAATTAACACACCTAAGACTGGCATTCAGAACTTCCTTGAAGGTATAAACGTAAATGATTTTCTATGAATGAATACAGTCATGGCTTCCTTGGAATTGTTTGCATACCATAAAGCACAAGCAACCCCTCCTAGTCCTTCATGTTGGACTCATCAGAATCTGGTTCTTGTTCATCTCTCCCAAATCACCTTTCCTCGCTGAACAGTCTCTCCCTTTCTGCTATATCAGACTCTTACTAGATCTCTGAGCTCACCACACTCAAGCAAACAGGCCTCACACAAGTTTGGCACCTTTCTATCTCATCTCTGGCCCTTCTCTTTGCTCCATACACTTGATCCATGCCAGTCTTTGTCAACTCAAAAGCATAAAGTTTGGCCCAACCTTAGTGGTGAATTCAGTAGTCTACTCAGCTGCAATGCTGGAAGCCACATAGCTAACCATGAGTTCAAACTCCCTGCCAAGTTGACCTGAAACATGCCAGGCACACGTGCCCAAGATCTTGATGAGTGGGAAGATTTGGGAAAGGGGATTGTGGCATGACAAGACCTGGCCAAGGGTGCTTTTCTATCTAAAGAGGACGCTTTGGTTGATGAGTGTCAGTGGACTAGATAATTCAGGCCTCACTCTCCCTTCAGCAGAAAACAACCTATTCATAGTGACCCAGGCAGACAATACTTGTGTGTTTAGCTAAATGAGGAAGTGAATCTCCTCTAAATCTGAGCAGTTTCTTAGAATCACAGGAATTAAGGTAGTAGAAAGGATGAAACTAATGTTTTTTGAAAGTCTATACTCACTTTTCTAGACTTTTCTTTTCACACACCTGGTGTAATTCCTCAACAACCCTCTGCAGAATTGGTCTTACTATTGAGTGGGTGAAGAAATGGTCTCAGAGAGGTTTTGAAACTTCTCCAAAGTCGTGCCATTGGTAAATAGTAAGTCTGTGATTAAAACCCAGGCCCATCTGATTCCAAGGTTGCCCCTGGCTGGCCTTGGCCACATGGGAACACAACTGCTTGTTCCCAGGAGTCATGGGGTATGTATAGTGACAGTCAATCACTAGTCCTGCTAAAAATAGCCCATATGAGCAAAATTTGCCTTGTTCTCTTTTTTTTTTTTTTTTTTGGTTTTTTTTTTTCCTGTTGTTATTTTTTAAGTCTGTGATTAAAACCCAGGCCCATCTGATTCCAAGGTTGCCCCTGGCTGGCCTTGGCCACATGGGAACACAACTGCTTGTTCCCAGGAGTCATGGGGTATGTATAGTGACAGTCAATCACTAGTCCTGCTAAAAATAGCCCATATGAGCAAAATTTGCCTTGTTCTCTTTTTTTTTTTTTTTTTTTTGGTGTCTTTTCATCCCTAGTGTCAATATTCAGAAGATGTTCAGTTGCTGACCGCCTGATGATTGCTTGCAGAGTTAGATTTTTTTTCTCATATTTCCAAGGCTCTAGCAGAATTTTATTTTGATTGAATATTATTCAATCAAAAATATCTTTAATGGATTTCACTTGTTATATTTTAGGTTACGTTGCCTTCTTTTTTTTTTTAAAGTTTTGTCATAAGGTGTGTGCACTTCTGGAGAGAGATAGACTGTGAGAGGGAAAGTGAGAAATCACCCCTAAAGGGGGATGGCCATGCTACAATTCCTTCTCCTCATTCTCCTCCTGGGGTTTTGTGCACCCTTATACATGTACCCAGTGTGAGTTTTGAGTCACCTGATCCAGGGGGGGATTGGTCATCCATGTGGGAATCCAGTACCTTAACCACCATGCCACCTGCTGGCCCCAATATTGCCGGTTTTTTTGTTTTTTTGTTTTTTGGGGGTTTTTTTAAAGAGAGATTTTAGCTATAGAATACGTGCACTCACCAGAGAAATACAGAGAGACAGAAAATGAAAACTCACCCCCCTGGGGAGACAGCATCACCTCAAGCCCTTCTCCTCCATTCTCCTCTCAGGATCTTGGGCATGCACACATACGCACCCATCATGAGTTTTAAGTTGCTGTGTCTGGGACTCAAACCACAGTCGACTATGTGGGAGTCCAGCGATGTAATCATTATACCATCTGATGTTGGTCCTCCAACATTGCTTTATTGATATGTTTGCAGTTTTATTTTATTGTCAAGAACGGTGATATGCAGATGTGCTAAGTTTGACACCCTATTTGTTTAAGAAAGGATATGATGGCAAACTTAGGAGTTTTGAAGCCTGAGTTCTATTTTGTTTGCCTTTTCTCTTTTCATTGTATAGAAACATTTCGTTGTGGTTTCCAGTTTTGAAATTAAATACACTTTATCTAATGAAATTTCTGATAAAAGACAATATGAATATGAATAGTGTTCAACTGTCTTCCTAAAAGGGAATTTGCTCATATCACAAACTTGCAGTGTCAATCAATGATACAATATGAGGCCATATTAAAGGAGTACTATGAGCCATAAGTACCATAATATGCACAGCCAGACGATGGTGTTTATGGTATACTGTGTTGGAAGAACATTTCATGCTACCAGCATGAAATACATGAATTATTTTTCCTTTAAAGATAAAGAATATCATTGAGCATTTTCATCTGGACAGCCTCTGACACTTCATAACAAACATAAATCAAAATAAACTTGTTCTTTATCCTTCTACCCTGTGTTCTTCAACCAGTTCTTCTTCCCAGATTTCTCTGTGCACAAATCTTCTGTCCAGGCAGCCTGAGAATTTTAAAGTTAAAAAAGACTTAAGAGGTGATCTACTTCAAGCTCCTGCCTCATCTAGGAAACTCTTTGGCAACACAATTAAGATCCAGAACTCTATCTCAGTCTTTCAGTCTTTCAGTTTTTCAAAAGTCAATTCCTGGCTATATTACTTATGATAGAGTCTTTTTTATTTTTTTTTCTTTGAGAGATTTTTGCTATAGGGCACATGTACTCACTGGAGAAAGACAGAGAGGGAGAAATCACCCCCTAGGGGAGATGGCCACATTGCAATCCTTTCTCCTCCATTCTCCTATCGGAATCTTGGGCATGCACATGCCTATCGAAGTTTTAAGTCTTAAGTTTTAAGTCGCCAGGTCCGCTACCTGAACCACAGTTGATTATGTGGGAGTCCTGTGATGTAGTCATTATGCCATCTGCTGGTCCCACAATGGATTCTTTTTTTTTTCTTTTTCTTTTTTTTTTTTTTTTGAGAGGTTTTTGCTATAGGGCGCGTGCGCTCACCAGAAAGACAGAGAGAGACAGAAAGCGAGAAATCACCACCTGGGGGAATGGACATGCTACAATTCCTTCTCCTCCATTCTCCTCTTGAGATCTTAGGCATGCACGCACATGCACCCAGCATGAGGTTTAAGCCACCAGGTCTGGGACTCAAAATGCGGTTCACTACTCGGGAGTCTAGCGACATAGCCATTACGAAAACTGCTGGTCCCAGCCACAGTGGATTCTTAAGCAAGACACTTAACTTTATCATGCTTTGGTTTCAATGAGGAGAAAAACAAAAGTTTATTTAATATGGTTGGAGTTTGGAATAAATGAAACCATACATGTAAAGCACTTAGCCCAGCACTCAGCACATAGTGAAAAATGGATGTTAGCCATTAATATTAGCGAGTAGATATTTAGCCATCTTTCTTAAACTTTGCTGGTGCTAAGAATCATGCAACTCCTCAGGGTCCCTCATTACAATATTGATGGTTGTTGTTTTTAGAAAAGTCTCATATTCCTCCAACATTCATCAAGTGTCTACTATGTACCAAGCACTGCACTAGAACAAGAGATGAATGAGAACAGACTAGCAGGAGAACTCAGCATCCAATGACCTGTGATTATCCTTCCTCTCAGCCCACTTGGAGGTGATACTCTCATTTTTCTCCTGTCTGATCATCTTCCACTGTCCATCGCCAGGGATGTGACCACGGAGGTCCTTAACTACCCCTTAGCTACTAGTGCACAGGCTCTCCAGGGAATTCAATCTTCTCTGGGGTAAGTCAATTTGCCCCTTTAAACCTCCACTTCCTTATGAGAAAAATGAGTCAATAATCCCCGCCTTATTGATATCACTGGATGGTCATAAAAATAAAATGAGATCATGGTGTGAAGGTCTGTAACTTTCGAAGTACTTTATGATCATGACGGATTCCTTATGTCAAATCCAAAGAAAGAAATGACTCTCCTAATGATGGAATTTTAGACATTGAGTAAACAAAGGAAGATCTTTTGGCCAGGAGTTGACAGAGGGGATAAGATAAATTTACCAAGTCTCCAGATCAAACTTATTTAAAAAACAAGACTAACCTGAGTGAACAAGTATTGCTCCTGAAAATCTGCTTAGCGGCCACATATTTTGCTGGAAGATCACCATGTTTTAGATCCAGCAGGCCTAGACTCAAATGCCTTATCGACCACTTACTGGTGTGGTGATTTTGTATGACTTCTTTAATTCAAGCTGTATTTCCTCATTTGAAAGTAAGATTCTGGGAATTTGGAATTAGAACTGAGAAACATTTAGAGAATTTGAACTGTCTTGTGAGCAGAGGATAAAATGTAGCTGTCATCTGCCCACCACAAACATGAAAAAGAAAGCCAGTTTACAGATGCAAAGAAGGAAACAGAACTGTAGAGAGCAGCAGAGACAAGAGATGGAACTGCTTGGTTCCTCATGGGCTTCTACTTCTCAGAAGCAGAACTACCAGACTCAACTGAACTCTTGCCATATGGTCCCTGGATCTTTTAAAATCACCTCTTTATGCTGAAGTTAAGTCAAGCTAATTTGTTTCTGTTGGATCCACAACACAATTCTAGCCAATGAGGTCACAATTGAGGGACTTGGAGGAAAGAGTTCTCCTTCCCAAGAGAAATACAAATGAATAGATGGTCTTGTCTTTCTCTGGTTGTTGTCATTGGTGACCATAAGGGCAAACAGAGCTGACACACCAGGAACTATAAAATAGAAGAGTTGAACAACCTGTATAAGGTTTTCAAGTCACCAAATTAACCAACAAGCATCACCACCACCTCTAGATCACTTATTATGTGACATAATGAATGCTCTTAATATTTAAGCCCATTTTAAATGGAGATTTCTTGACTTGAGGCTGAAAGCATCCCAACCAATAATGTTACAGCTAAAAATCTCCTTAAAATAATGGTTTCATTTGAGAATTTCTAACATTCTTATAACTCTACAGAAATGAGTAAAAATAATTTCCTGTCTCTTCCTCTACCACTTTTAAGAATACCATATGTTCCAAGAAAGGAAATGTCTTTGAAATCCTCGCTTCTGTCGTCTGCTGTTTTGAACATGTACATGGAATGTACCAACACAGGGCCACTGCCCACTTCATGCCACCTCCGCAGCATTCTGTCCAAGGACATCCTGTTAAAACTCTGCTTGGAGAATTTCCTTTCCTCCATGCCCACTAATATTGTGTATGGAGACCAGCAGATGGCAAGGCAGTTATATCGTTGGACTCCACATAGCCAGCTGAGGTTCTCGTCCTGGACCCAGTGGTTTAAAATCATGCCAGGTGTATGTGCATGCATGCCCAAGAACCCAGGAGAAGATTGGAAGAGAAGTGACTGTGGCCTGGCCATTCCCCCTGGGGAATGATTTCTCACTTTCCCTCTCACTGTCTCTCTCTCTCTCTCCAGCTAGTACACACTCCCTGAAACCTCTTTTAAAAAATTGACTGTTTTGTATGACTGTTTTGAGGCCTTTTTTTGCTCTCTTGTTTTTTCTCCATCTCTGTCCCTTCTAATTAGGAATTTTCATTTCCCTTAATGGTCCTTAATAAGGCTGTTTGATGTTGTTGTTGTTAATTGGCCTCAGCATTTTTTTCCCTCGTGACATATTCTCACTGTTACCCATGCTGGCCTCAAACTCACAATCCTCCTGCCTCAGTCTCCCAAGTAGCCAGGAATAGGCAAGCACCGGTATATCTAGCACAATTTTTTTTAAACTGATACCTATTTCAATGGGAGGAATTAATTTTCTGTCAACGGTATCCTAGGTGACTAATTTTCATTATGCTAAGATTGACAGTTCAGAAAGGGTAGTTTTCTTTTTTTTGGAGAGGTTTTCGCTATAGGGCGCGTGCACTCACCAGACAGACAGAGAGAGACATAGAGATAGAAAGTGAGAAATCACCCCCCAGGGGGGATGGTCACGCCGCAATCCCTTCTCCTCCATTCTCCTCTTGGGATCTTGGGCACACACACACGCGCCCGGCATGAGTTTTAAGCCACCGGGTCCAGGACGCGAACTGCGGTCAACTACATAGGAGTCCAGCGACATAGCCATTACGCTAACTGCTGGTTCCCAAGGGTAATTTTCCTTCTCAGGAAAGGTTGTCATGATGGGTGAGCAATGGTACCTTCTCTCTATTCCATAAACTGAGGGAATAAAATGTACTCCACCCACAGGATCATAGGGTTAATTTGACACTACATATTATAGGTCATGACTTTTTTTTTTTTTTTGAGAGATTATTACACGGTGTGTGTGCTCACCGGAGAGAAAGAGAGAGACAGAAAGTGAGAAATCACCCACCACAGGGATGACCATGCCACAATTCCTTCTCCATTCTCCCCTTGGGATTTTGGGCAAGCTCACACACATGCCCAGCATGAGTTTCAAGTTGCCAGGTCCGGGACTCAAACTTGTCAGCCACATGAGAGTCTAGCACCTTACCTGCTAGGAACCTGCTGGTTCATGACTGTTTTTGTTTGTTTGTTTGTTTGTTTGTTTAAAGATTTATTTGCTTGCTTAATTTCCTTAGCCTAGACTTTGTGTGTGTATATGAAAGGCATTTCTTCTAGTCCCAAATTATTTCCACTCATGAACCCATTCAAACAAAGTTAAGTTTATCTCCTAGTTCTATTTCTTAAATGCATTTTAAGCTCCAGACTGATCAAGGAACTCAAAATAGAACATGAGCAAATAATTTTTATAATTGTATGCTCTTTATATGCTTAAGGCAATATTCAGGAATGTTCTCTTCCTACCATTTGTCTTCTAAATTCTACTGCTTTACCTTAATGCACCTTCTCTTCGTCCTCAGTATTTTTCTCCCCAGAAGCATACATAGCCCTTCAATACCACTTTCACAGCCCCATAAGCTGCAAAACTGGGGTAGTACTTTTTTATGAAAAAACAAGATAGTACATTTTGCCAGCTTTGTTATTTTCTTACTCATGGCATTATTCATATTTTACATTTGGCTTAATTTTTTTTATATTTAAACAATAGTTATAGTTTGATACTTAGAGAAATACAAGCAATTAATGAGTATATTAGTTGGGAACTCTTCAAAAGTGACATCCAGTACAATCTCTGATTTTGATATTTATCCTAAACTTCAGAACCCTAAATCTGATCACCAACTTCTTCATTTATAAACCCACAGACTCATCAAATTCAACAAATAAAAACAAATGTATCCACTCTACCTCTAGTGGACTCCTGCCTGGTTCTCTTTTGGCATTATGGATCATGGTCAACGGCTCTTCTACCCACCTCAACATCCAGACCAGAAACCTAACCCCACTCAGTATGCTAAACCATTTCACACCTCATCTCTAGTTTCAATCCTCACCTCTCACTCATTGCTCACTTTTCGACCTTAGGTCTTTTCCTACTCTAAGCTGTCAGAATGATCTTCCTTAAGGCAAATCATCACCATCTCCATGAACTTCCCAGCCCTACCTCCAACCCTGCAGAATGGATTGTCCTATGGTGTGGTCCTTAGTGCTCTGGAGAGAGTTCTGTCATAGCATGGTCCTTAGTAATACAAAGCTACATTTTTCCAGAGTCAGTTCATTAGGATTTAAACTTTGGCTCCACTACTTACCAGAGGCAAGATATCAAATATCTGTATTTCAGTTTTCTCTTCTATAAAATGGCACTATCCACTAGTACATCTCAGGGCTGATGGGAGAATTAAATAAGATAATATATGTTAGCACTTGGCACATGCCCGGCACACATAGCACATAATAAATGTAAGTGATTGTTATTATAGAAAATGTACAACTCACTGATTGATTTGTTTATTTTTGTCTTCACTAGCTTTGAGTTACTTGAATTAATTCATATCTATAATGCAGCACCTAGCACTGGTTAAAAAATACTTAACACTCCATAAACATTTTTTTAATCGAATGATCATGTTACTGCTCGGCTCCTCACCCTTCACTTTACTGGCTCTTGATTGCCTGTAGAATAAAATCCAAAACCAGGACCAGCAGATGGTGTAATGGTTACATTGCTGGACTCCCACATGACTGACTGCAGTTCGATTCCCAGACCGAGCAGCTTGAAACTCACACAGGGTGCTTGTGAGTGTGTGCCCAAAATCCCAAGGAGAGAATGAAGGAGAAGGGATTGCAATGTGGCCATCTCCCTGGGGCGGGAGGGGGTGCTACTTTTCACTTTCTGTCTATCTGTCGCTCCAGTGAGCACATGCACCTTATAGCAAAATTCTCTAATAAAAAAAAATTAAAAAAAAAAAACCTCTAGCATGATTTACAAAACCTCTGAAATCTGGAGCTTACGTACCTATTCAGTTTCTTCTCCAGCACTCCAGCTAAGCAACATCACTTCTAATTTCACATACAGACATTTCCTTCAAAAAAATGCCTTTCCAGGCCCTTTCCTCACACATCTTTTGATATTCAAGAACCAAATCAAGTCCCTTTCCCTTTTAAAGTTTTATCTGACCTGTCTTTAGGTGGCCACTAAGTTTAGAAATGTAAGTAAACACATAACAAATGACTCACTAGTATTATACAATACAGAATGAAATAGCGTATCTGCATTGCCATGCTTCATGGCCGCTCTATAGCTAGAACAGATCCTTCCCTTTTTCTTGCCTTTTGCCTTTTTTTATGAAACACTGATGTCCTGGGACAGAACATAGATCACAGAGGTCTGCCCTATTTATCTTTGTGTCTCAACCATCCAACCCCATGACGCAGAAACCAGGCACTCAACAAACATTTGCCAAATGAATAAAATGTCAGTAAATATTTAAAGATCATCACTGTGCCCCCCATTTAATCATTGCTAGTAAATATCCCCAACAAACAAATCCACCCTACAATTACTTTTATCCGGCTGCTCAGGGTGGTGAAGCAAAATGCTTAGCATGTGCCTTGGTGATCACATTCTGCATTTGCTGCATTCAGCTTTCATTCATTGTCGAACATGTTTTTTGAACACACATTTCCACTTTTTAAAAATAGAAAATTTTAAGAAAAATTATCTACTTTAATGAGTTGTCATTATTTGATACCTTCCAGAAGATATCAATAGAGTAAAATGTATAAAACATTTCAAAATTAATGATACATTGAAGGATGAATGCTCACAATAATAACACATTAAAATCTTATTAAAAATTTGTTACCTAAACTTGCCAGATAAATATATTATCTTTTTTTTTTTTTTTTTGAAGAGGTTTTTGCTATAGGGCACATGTGCTCGCCAGAAAGACAGAGAGAGACAGAGAGACAAAAAGCGAGAAATCATCCCCTTCCCAGGGGGAATAGCCACGTCACAATCTCTTCTCCATTCTCCTCTCAGGATCTTGGGCATACACGCACACGCGCCCGACAGGATTTTAAGTCATTGGGTCTGGGATTCAAATGCGGTCAACTACATGAGAGTCCAGTGACGTAGCCGTTACGCCAACTGCTGGTCCCAAATACATTGCTTTTAAGATCAACTTTAATTTACACTGGCTTATAGAGCTCTTGTATGTGGTTGTGGTCAGGTTTATAAGTGAACTAGTGCATGTGTGCACATGCGTGTGCGTGCGTGCACACACACACATAGTACCTGCAGCAAATTTCCTCTGACTCAGTTTTAGACTGGTAAGTTCCAAATCAGTATCCTCTCAGCAAACTCTCCAATGAAATAATATTCCTTCAAGATGACATTTGGTCAGGAAAGTAAGTGCTTAACATGACAGTTTCATGATACAGTCTGTAAAATCCAAGACAGCCTCTGGCTAGTGATAATAATCACGTTGTCAGATCCATGTTTTACTGTCGAACACTGGTTAGTCTAATGAGGGAACCACTCAGAGGCTGTTGGTGCTCTCATAATGACTCATTGTCCTGGGAAACTTCACTTTCTATGAGAATAAGGCCTGGAATAGCTCATAATTTGATTGTCACTATGACAACTCTGAAACTTTCACAGACGCATTGGAACTGCAGGCAAGAATTCTGTGTTGGTTCTGATTTTGAGGAAGTGTGGTAGTGCAGAGGTATGCCACCATCACTTCTTGAAATCATCAGTAAAATTACCACCATCCAATAAAGTATTACTATGTTCACCATTAATCCAGCTCACTGAAGGCATTTTGCAAAGTGAACCATAAGAAATATTCATGGCACAACAGCATCCAAAACTAAGAGTGCCAAGTGGCATTTGAAACCTCTCAGAAAGTTATTAAAAATACAGCGTACTTCAAAAATAGTTAAACTCTTCCCAAATGTCTTACTTAGTAACCAGGTAATATACAATCACGTAGGACCCAAACTGGTTTCAGTGTCTGGCCACGTGGCAACGTTACGTTTTCACCATATGTTTACATTTTGTTAAGTGTTTATTTCTTTTAAATCATTTTGTATAATAGTATAGTTGGATAATCTGAGTCCTCCAATTCCCTCCAAATAGGATTTAAATGATCTGTGAAACCTCTGGACTTATATGGAAAAATATTGTGTAGGTGAGAGTCGAAGTTTTCAATTTTATCCCATATTTCTCTCTGTGTAATAACATGGAATCAATAAATTTTTTCAGTAAAAAATTTGAGTGATATAATTACTTAATTATGATGTTAATCTTATGTAATACTCCTACTCTTTTTTAGGGCCTACACTAGACATATAAAAAGTATGTTATCACATTAAGTAAACTATAACTATGACTGATTCAGCACCATTATTGTCATTCTTGCTGTGGGTCCCAGGGTCACTTTTAGCCCATAGGAAATCTCCTCCTAATTCATACAGATTAATTTTTTAGATTTTTTTTTTGCCTTAGGGGCATGTGTGCTTTCCAGAGAGAGAAACAGAGACAGAGAGAAGGAATGTGAGAAATCGTTCCAGGGGGATGGCCATGCCACAATCCCTTCTCCTCCATTATCCTCCTGGGATCTTGGGCTTACACAGACACACAGACACACACACACAGAGCATGATTTTAAAGTCACTTGGGTTCAGGACTTGAACTGCAGTCACCCATGTGGGAGTCCAGCAACATAACTACTATGCCATCTGCTGGTCCCCATATGGATTCTTAAAAGGCTCTTAGATGCTCTTCCTCTTGGTGGGAATGGGGAGCATTGTTGGGTATAGAGAATGCAAGCTAGATTTCAACTCCCTCCCTCAGCTGGTGACCTTTGCACGGTACACAAAACACACTGGGTACACAAAACACACTGTCCGCAGCAGCCTCACTGGGACCCCAGCAAAGTGAGAACAGATTATGACTCTTCAGTACTCTTACTGATACCTTGAACAAAGAGCAAGACATACGCTTGAGTTTTTTTAAAAAATAAGAATAATTTAGTTGATTCTAAAATTCATGTCTTAACAGTTTTATATCTCCAAAATTGAAATGCCTTACAGTCCTATATCTATTCTACTGCACAATACATTTTATGTAATGAATATACTCATTGAGAAAAAAAAAGATTAAAGTGAAATAACTCTAACATCTTTTTATTGTGTTTTCTCTCAAAATAGGGCATTTCCTACTTGAAAGATGAGACCCTATAGACCTATCATTAGAGCATTTTCCTTTGTCCTCTGTCTTCAAGGACTCCTTAGACTGAAATAATCCCTCCTCAAGCCCAAAGCAGTTTGTTTATACCTTTTCTGTGACCTATTACATTCTGCTTGGTACTGCAGTTATAATTATTTTTCCCACCTACTTACCAGAAAGTTCCTACAGGCAGGACCTGTGGACCTTTATTTTCTCTGCTATCCTGGGCAGCAGTGAGACCAAATGGCAGCAGCATGGGCCCTGGAGTCTACTGGATTCATGATCCTGGGCAAGTCACATAACCCTTCAGAGTCCCATTTATTTCCTCGTTTCTAAAATGAGGATAATAATAAACGGGACTGGTTCGAAGATTTAATAATAAGTCAAGCCACCAAGCCAGTGGCATAGTAATTAAGGTGATTGGATCGCACATTGCCAACTCTGAGGTTCGAGTCCCAGACCTCAAAAAACATGCCAGGTGCATGTGTGGGCATGCTCAAACTCGTGAGAGAAATACGGAAGAGAAGGGATTGCAGCATGGCCTAGTGGATACTTTCTCTGTCTCTGTCTGGCAAGTGCACATGCCCTATCACAAACTGGGGTGGGGACAGAGGGGGGAGGGAGCCAAATTGGAAAGGAATGGCATCCAAGTAGTTCTAGTTCTTTATAGCTGACTGTTTTTAAGAGTCAGCCTGGGGTAAGGTATGCAGGACATAAGAATTGGAAAATTATTTACTGAGAACATGTATGTTGATATGCTTGATTGAGCCAATGCACAGTGTATTTTGGATGGAAAATTCATTTGTGTGTTGTGATGGTGTATAGTGAATTAATGTAGAAAATGAATAAATTTTTAAAAAATTAAAAAAAAAAAAGTCAGCCTGGGGTCAGGGTAGGCAAGTGGCGTGATGGTTAAGGGCACCGGACTCCTACATGGCTGACCACAGTTCCAGTCTTGGACCTGGTGGCTTGCTTTCTCACTTTCTCCCTCTCTGTCCCTCTCTGGTCAAATTTAAATAAATAAATAAATAAATAAATAGTTCAATAAAATAATTCGTTTTTGCTACAAGGGTGAGTGCACATGCCAGACAGACAGAGACAGAGAGACAGAAAGCGAGAAATCCCCTAGGGGGGATGGTCACGCCTCAATCCCTTCTCCTCTATTCTCCTCTCGGGATCTTGGGCACGCACGCACACGCACCCAGTGTGAGTTTTAAGCCACCAGGTCTGGGATGCGAACCGCGGTCGACTACATGGGAGTCCAGCGACATAGCCATTACGCTAACTGCTTGCCCCAATAAAGTAATTCTAAAAATAAAAATAAAAAGAGTCAGCCTGGGGCCAGCCAAGTGGACTGGTGGTTAAGGTGGCTGTGTCCCAAATGGCCAACTCTGCAGTTTGAGCCCTAGATTTGGGAAATACACCAGGTGCATATGTGTGCGTGTGTGCCCAAAATCCCAAGAGAAGAATGGAGGAGAAGAGATTGTGGCATGGCCATCCTCCCTGGGGAGTGATTTTTCACCTTCCTTTTTCCTCTCTTTCTAGCAAGTACACATGCCCTATAGCAAAAACTTAAAAAAAGAAAATGTCAGTAGGGGTTTTGGAATCAGATAGATTCAGTTCCTGTTTGGTCACCTGGTATGTCTCGTAATTATAAGTTTCTTTTCAGCCTTAGCTTCTAAACATTATGAAGGTTGGATCTTGTCTGCTTTATCCACAGTTGTGTCTTTAGCATCTAACACAGAGCCTGATTCTTAGTTGTTGCATGAACTAATGAATGAATAAAACAATAAAAATAATTCCTTACAGCACTTTTGAGAGAATTGTGAAGAAGGTACATTTATAGTTATAAGGCTTAGAACACAGTAGGTCACAATGATAGTCTAAACAAATGAATACCAAAAAATAGGTTATAAAAAGTGCTATGGACTGGACCAGCAGATAACATAATGGTTACATCGCTGGACTTTCCCATAGTCAACTGTGGTTTCAGTCCTGGACCTGGCAGCTTAAAACTCATGCCGGATGCATGTGCATGTGTGCCCAAGATCCCAAGAGGAGAATGGAGGAGAAAGGATTGCAACATGACCATCTTCTCTGGAGGATGATTTCTTGCTTTCTGTCTCTCTGCCTCTCTGGTGGCTGCTCATGCTCTATAGCAAAAATCTCTCTTAAAAAAAAAGTGCTATAGGCACTTATGCTCACTTATTTATTATGTAATTACAGGAGTAGGCAATAAAAGGACATGGCTAATGGTTGGCCTGATGACTAATACCTTCTAGTATTAAATTGTGCTCATACCTCCAACGCAACCCTATTATAAGTAGTAAGAATCACTTGTTTAGTAAATATTTATTGAGCACTTAGAATATGGGAAACCAAAGTGGATAAACTTTTTACAAACAGTATATCTGTGCCAAGGACAGAACATGGGAATACTTGCTTTCTAAAAATTGACGTCTAGAGGCCAGCAGATAGCACAGTGGTTAGGGTGCTGGACTCCCACATGGCTAATCATGGTTCAAGTCCTGGACATGGCAGCTTGCTTTCTCGCTTTCCCTTTCTGTCTCTCTGTGGTTAGTGTATGTGCCCT